AATTAAGAAATTTTTGACTACAGATAGGTATTACCTATCCAAATATAATTTAAGACAGATAGCAAATGTGCTATCTTAAAATTTATATATTAACTCAGCCAAGGACTTGGCTACCCAGACATCTGCTCCTATTGAGCAGCATAATGATTTGACATGCAATTTGGAATCCGTTCCAAGTAATTTAAATTAGAAAATGAGACAATAGAGGTAACCTCTAGCAGTTATAATAATTTAAATAATTTACAATGTAGCTTACAAATCCTTAATAGTTGCAGTTGTATAACTCCACAAAATGATAATAAACAATTAGTTTACACCTGTTGCATCAGAATATACAAGGCATGATAGGCAAAGACCTAGAAATTGAATTGTTCTTAAATAGCAACAATATTCATATTTTATGTATTACTGAACATTGGTTAAAAGCTCATAATTTAATGTTTAACTTCAGTAATCACCAGGTGGTCAGTTCTTACAATAGAGAAACGATTTTAAGAGGTGGCTCCTTAATTTTAGCTAATAAATTATTATCATGTAAAGAACGTAAAGATATTGTGAGCCTCTCTGTTGAGCGAACTGTAGAAATGGCATGTGTTGAGTTTGAACACCTCATTGTTGTGAGCGTTTACAGACCCCCATGTTCTTTATATGATACTTTTGAAAAAATTATTCGCTAAGCTTAATAAACAGAATAAAACTGTTATAATATGTGGAGACTTTAATATCAATCTCCTAGAAGCTTCCTCCACCAACATTAAATTTAGATCATTGTTTAAATCTTATGGTCTTTTTAATTTATTTTTGGAGCCAACACGTATTGCTGAATCTAGTGCAACATGTATAGATAGGTAACATTTTTACAAATGTTAAGCCGTTCAATAAATGTATAAATCAAAAATTGAGCTCTGATCACTGTGGACAATTAGTTTCGTTACCTTATGATCACAAAAAGCAAGTAGATAAAAAAGTAGTGTTTGTTCCAGTAAATTCACATCGCTTGGAGAAGTTTAGAAGTAACATATTAAAAAAACTTCCATTACTTTCATACCAAAATAATCCAATTTTTTTGTATGGAACATTATTTAAGCTCATTTGCAATGAATTTAATAATACTTTTACTTCTAAAACATTCTCCTTGAACAATCGCAAGGCATTTAATGAGTGGGCGATAGTAGGAGTCCATAAGAGTAGACAAAGGTAATATGAACTTTACAATGAAAGGTCATATAATCCTAGCGTCGAATTTAGGGAATATGTAAAAAAATATTCCAAAATATTTAAAAGGAGTGTGCTCCTTAGCCAAGTCATTGTATTTGAGCAACAAAATAAAGACTGCTTCTAATAAAATTAAAATGACATGGAGTATAATTAATAGTGAAACTGGTAAGGTCAACTCTCGCAATTCAAACTACCAGTTAAGTTTTAACAATAAATTAACTAAATCAGATCAGGATGTTGCAATGGTTTTTAAGAAATATTTTACTGATATTCCGATCTTAACCACTAAAGTCACTGAATTCTTCTCCTGCCGTCGCCGAATCATTACTTAAACAAAATGTAAATGTGTGTACAAAGAATTTTACATTTCATAAAGTGTCATCAAAAGACATTGTAAAATATTTTAAGACTATTGATATTAAGAGAACCGCCGATCTGTGGGGGATTTCTGTTAAAGTTATTGCGTCTATAATAGATATAATCGCACCTCAACTATCTGTTATTTTTAATACTAGTATCGAATCTGGTGTGTTTCCTGATTAAATGAAGCATAGTAAAGTAATACCTTTATTTAAATCTGGACAATGGACTCCGCTAATTTCAGACCTATTTCTGTACTGCCAACACTTAGTAAAATTTTTGAAAAAATTATTCTTGATCTAATGTTAAATTTATTTAATGTAAATAATTTACTTCATAAAAATCTATTTGGTTTCACAAGGGGTCGCTCGACAACTGATGCTGGTGTTGAGCTGATTAAATATATATTTAATGCATGGGAGAATTCACAGGATGCTTTCGGTGTGTTCTGTGACCTATCCAAAGCCTTCGATTGTGTTCACCATGAAACATTAATCAGGAAACTTCAACACTACGGTGTAAGAAGCGATGCTCTTAAATTAACTATTTCATTTAAGTGACAGAACCCAAAAGTTCTCTTCAATAGTATGAGTTCTTCCGGGTCGATTGTACAAATGGGCGTGCCTCAGGGCTCAATTCTCGGCCCCTTTCTGTTTCTTGTATATATTAATGACTTACCTTACATAGTAGGGGATAACCATGATATAGTAGGTATTATTTGCTGATGATACTTCATTAACTTTCAAATTAAAACGACAGTTATTAAATTACGACGAAGTAAATAATGCTATACCTAAGTTAGTCAATTGGTTTAATGTTAATAATTTGCATTTGAATGGAACTAAAACTAAATGTATGAAATTCGTAATTCCTAATATTAAACATGTCAATACTAATGTAATTTTAAATGGGGAGGAATTAAGTCTTATTGATACCACCATTTTTCTTGGAATCACACTGGACGCAAAGCTTCAATGGCTCCCCCCATATATCAAAACCAGCTAGCAGACTTGGTTGTGCAGCATATGCTGTAAAAAAGATTAGAACTCTTACCAGTGTTGAAACAGATAGAATAGTTTACTTTAGTTATTTCCATAGCGTTATGTCGTATGGTATTTTGCTATGGGGACACGCGACTGACACTGAAATTATATTTGTTTTACAGAAGAGGGCCATTAGAGCAATATATAATTTAAAACCAAAAGAGTCACTGAGACAAAAATTTAAGGAAATTAATATATTAACTCTGGCCTCTCAATACATTTATGAAAATGTAATGTACGTACACAAAAATAAAAGTAGTTTCGCGAAAATAAGTGATATTCATTCTGTAAATACTAGGAGCAGACACAAGCTAGTAGTGCCAGTTACTCGACTCCACCGAGTCAGTAATTCATTCTTGGGGCGATGTATACGCTTTTACAACAAAATCCCAGAAAATATACAAAATTTGTCATACACAAAATTCAAAAATGTTATTAAACTAAGTTTGTATAAAAAGGGTTATTATAATATTAAGGAATTTATGGATGATAATAACCCCTGGGAAGGGTGATCGCTACCAAGCTATTTCTAATTTGTCTTGTGTTGTTAATTGTAAACATGATTGTAAGCTATTATTGGAAAAAAAATAGTCTCGCTGGGTTTCTTGCTGGTTCTTCCCAGGACAGAGATTTTTGCGAACCAGTGGTAAATGAAAAAATTGACTTTCAATAAGTATTGTTATAATCTACATTGAATAAAAAAGTTTTTGTTTCTGTTTCACTTTTTGCCATTACAATTGATCAATTCGGTAGGTACCTAATATATATAATTTTTAAATTACATTAAAACTTTTCAACAATTTTATCCTACAATTAAATATACTAAACACTAAACAAAATCTATTTCAACAAGTATTTACAAAAAACTATTTACGTTAACTGCGTATGTTACCTGGGGTGCCTCGCGATTGTAGGTAATTATTTCGCACACGTAGCAAGAGTGACAGGGGGCGCCCGAGCGGACGTTAGTCGCTGCGCCCTCCTTTCTGCCAAGGAGGGTCGCGTTCGTATACGGCTTAGAGATCTCTAGTCAGATCGTTGGGTTTAGTGGGTAAAAGTCACCACATAACCACGCAGCCGGCTGCGTGGTATGCTATGAGCATTCCCAACCTCCCTCCCCCGCTTTCCGGAGGGTTGCCCATATTTGCTTCGGGCGCAAAAAAAACGTTAGTCGAGTCAATGGCATTTCGCTTTTATATTTATTTTACACCTTTAAGTATTAAACCAAGTTGGTTGAATAGTCACAGATAAAAACGAAATGCCACCGATTGACTGACCGACTTATCATGATAGGTATACCTAAAACTATACACCCGATCGACTTGAAATTTAGTATAGTTAATCATAGCAAGTAGTCGCTCACTAAGAATGGATTTCACGATAGTCCCATTACAAAATTCTCGATATTTTAGATGTAGGTTCCGCATTGAAATATTATCGTGCGCCTAGCGAAACGAGTAGGCATCAGCTAGTAATATAAAAGCTCTAAGCGATGGTCATTTTTATTGGAGCAAGCACAACTTTCTCAACTTACGTTTTTGTGTATATACAGTAATGACACCCAACTGATGCACGGTGTTAATTAGTAAAATTGTATAATATAGCTGCAGTGTACAGTGTATAAATGGGTAAAATTAAACGAATATTTATTAATTTAATAATATTTAATATACGTAGTTTTGTACAACACCTTAAGTATAGTTGCCGGCATTAAAGGTGAGCACAGATGAACTATGGTGGGGGTTGAACCAGCGCAGGTACACTGTCGGCCAAAATTATTAGGTACTGTTGTTATTTCAATTCTTAATTGAATGTTTTCGCTGACTTTTTTTCGAAATTCTGAGTCGTTTACTTCTTTAATTATACGACGTACAGTAGCTACTTAGACATTAGTTGCCTTAGCTGTCTGTTTATAAACGTCTATCATGTTTTTCCCAATACCTAATTATTTCATGTAACAAAACACTGAATAGACCATTTGTCGGGATTGTTTATTTAATACCGAATTCTTTCTTCTCTGCATATTTAGCCCAAAATCCGAATGTTAAAATTATATCAAAAAAATATAATTAACAAAAAGAAATATCAAAAACAGTTAAAAACAAGAAATACACAAACAACAATTAACAACGAGGTAACACTACGATTAACAAAAATAAACTAATTAAAAAGTTGTCACTAAAATTGCTCTCAAGTGTACGGTAGTCGAATGATACGTGCGAACCTAATAGACGACGAGAATCGGCTGACGAACCAATCACGTTAAGCGTCAGCGTGGTCAACGTCATATCGACCAATTAAAAGTGTGCTCACGACTCGTGGCGGCAATTATACTCCTTTTCGAGTACTGTAGTCGGGTAAAAATACGTCAGTACTGAATTAGATGAGCAGGTTGGTGTGTGTGTGCGTGAGGCGCGGCGTCTTCTGTTTTTTCAGCGCGCGGTATGCGGCGACCGCATCCAGGCGAGCTCGCTCACGACGTTCCAACTCCACTGCTGGCAACTTCTCCTTCTTGCTTTTTTTAATCTTGCCTTTGTTTGTAACGGTTTCCATGATCTTACTGTTCTTGCTGTTCTCGCTGTTCTTGCCTGCGAGTAGAGCGCTCAGCAACAGATCCCTCCGGCCCGGCTGCGAACCAATTCACTGCTACAGGATTTGTCCATCTTTCTCTTTTTTTATAGAATGTGGTAAAAAACGAGCTCACAGTCCACTTGATAGATACTGCGGCCCATAATCATCTATCCTCGATTTAGAATCAAAATGCAGATACGTTGTCACCCATCAGGACTAACATGGAATGCCTCGTTTCCAATGAAAAGGTATCCGGTTCTCTACACTGACCATATAGAACAATGCAGCATTGATTTGCTATTTTACGCTGATATTCTGTAAGGGCGTGGTTCTTTCCCGGTCAAACCAACATATTATGTGATTTTTATATTATTTAAAAAAATCTTAATGACGGCACATAATAGATCCCACCTACTATATACCATTACCTACTATATTGTCTGTATACAATTCTACTGTCCGTGTGTATGTGACGGAAATCCTCCTAAAGGGCTGGACCGATTTTGAGGAAATTCTGTGTGTGTTTAAATTAATTTGATTCTAGAATGGTTTAGATTCACTATTGGACCCGGTAGGTGGTGCTTTTGGCGGGATCCACAAACAGCCGGGGCAGATCGCTAGTATTATACAAAACTTTATGTAAAGTGGTCACAAGCTTAAAATTCGATTTGGTAAACTTTTGGATATAACATATTGTATACAAAATTAGTGTCAAACGAGCTGGTACTAATGGATGTTGATGTTGCAGTACCCTTCATTTGAGACAAACAACCTTGAAACAAAAAATGATTTACAGCAACAGTGTCTAGGCGTAAAAACGCCTATTCACTCTTGTCTCGGTACCTACTGTCACGTAAATACATGTCTCCGTGATTCTGTTTTATAAATATAGCTAAAGTCTTATTATTCTACTTTTTACTTCATTAATTTATTCTTGTGATGTTAATTTCATGTGAATACGTTATCAAAAAAAAAAAAAAAACTATAAATACTTTATCTAGTTATTTAAATATTGGTGAAAAAGTGTAAACTTCTACGTAAAAAGTGTGAAACAGCTCATTTTAACGTAAAGTGACAAACTTAACAAAATATTTTACGTAAAACAGTGCCCGGTAAATCAAAATAAACTATGGTTTTATCATATAAATGTGGAAAACTTTGAGTGATTAACAGTGACAAAGTGCTAACATTCCTGCGCAAATTCCATTACCATTAGTCATAATAACGAACTTTTACGTTCACTGCTGTCTTATGTACGCCTATTTCGCCCTTAGCAGTGAAGAAAGGATAGCCTCGCGGTTATTAAAGCGCATATCACGTAAGCGAGCACCGACTTCAAATCTCACATTGCTGGTTCTTTTTGTACATATTATTTATTTGAGAAAAAATATTTCTAAGATACAAAAATGAATTTTCTGGAGAACATAACATTACGACGCACTCGTACACAATCTGACTCCAAGGACAGATCTTGCACTGTTTCAACACTAGATGACACTGTTAGTAGCCTACCGGATTTATCTACAGAAGACGGAGATGACATCTTAAGTAAATATAAAGAACAGATAATTGCACTCACTACACAATTGAACAGATCACAAACAAAAATCGAATCTCTTACATTAGAAAATAATAAATTAAGAGAATTAAACAATAACTTAGCTAACAAAAATGACAACCACAATAAAAGGATTGATATTTTGAACAAAAAACATAAAACAAATACGCCAAAGGAACAGACTTCAAACATGAATACATCTATAGAAAAAATACAAACAGATGAAGTAACGGCAACATGTAGTATATCTAACGAAAGGAAAAACAATAGTAAAATTGACCCTGATAAACAGAATTTAAATATTGACAAGTCTTTAAATAATTGCAAACAAATCAAGCGATCAAAGAAGATCTCCATACTAAGTACAAATAAAAACAATAAAATACTTCAAATTGCCGAGAATAATTTCCAAGACTTCCTAGTGTGCCATTACCTCTACCCAAATTGTGATTTACAGTACCTATTGAAAGATATTGAGCGAAAATTGGAGGGATACTCCATGGACGACTACTGCGTTATAATGATCGGAGAGGCTGATTTTAAAATAACCAAAAATTATTTCGAATTGATTTATTATATTCGTGATATCCTACAGAAGATCAAGCACACGAATATCATAATTTGCCTTCCGACTTATAAGTATGGATACCTAAATAACATCTTAAATTGGAGGGTTGAAACATTCAACAACCTTTTATACCTTGATATAATGACCCATGAACATGCATTCTTATTGGACTCTAATAAAAAAATAAATTATGACTACGACATGTTTCACAAGCATTATGGTTTTGTAAATAATAATGGAATGAATACTATATTCAAAAACTTAAAGGAGTTAATTTTTGAAATTCAAGACTACTACTACTACACGAGCGAAGAGCTTATCATTAATGACCAAGAGTCTCCTAAAGAAATAGAATCTTCGTTTTTTCGAGACTAAATTCTTATACATTATGCATCAAAACATTGCAAGTTTACTGAGCAAGTCGGATGCGTTGATGGTAAATTTGGAAGAACTACTTGACAGATATATAAGTGTTGACGTTGTTTGTATTACGGAACATTTTATGAAAGCAGGATCTGAATATTTTTTAAATCTTCCAAATTATATACTGGCGGAGTGCTTCAGCAGAGAGGACATCAACAGAGGTGGTGCTTGCATTTTAGTTAAGAACGGACTCAAATGGAAAGAACTTCTAGAATTTAAGAGGTTATCAATAGTAAATGTATTTGAATGCTGTGCCATTGAACTAACTGACTATAAAATTGCAATTATATGTATATATCGCGTCCCAAATCGAAGTAACAATTTTGATATATTCTTTGACAAATTAGAAAAGCTTTTAGTGTGTACTTCAAAATTAAAATGTAATAATGTACTAATTGCTGGTGATTTCAACATTAACATGTTAAAAAATAATAATATAACGTCTAACCTAGAATGTTTACTATTAAACTATAATTTTAAATTAGCTCTTAAACAACCGACTAGACTTAGTAGTAAAACTTGTATAGATAACTTTGCACATAACTGTGGAAAGGCATGTAGGGCTGAAGTGTTGGAATTTGGCTTGTCTGACCATACTGCACAATTAATAAAACTCCCGGTTAAAAAAAATAATTAAACTAAAACACTGGTACAAAACAATACGAGATTACAATAAAGACAACATACAAAAATTTAAAATGTGCATGGGAAACCTATCCTTTTCTGAAATGTATACTATGAATGACCCAAATTTGGCATATAATTGTTTTTTGCTAGAATATAGACTTTTCTATAACTTATGTTTCCCATTAAAACAAATTAAAATAAAAGTAACTTATAAACCAAAATGGATATCACATGGACTAAAAATTTGTAGCAAAAAGAAAAGAGCTTTATTGTGGAAATATAGAAAATCACCAACTAGTGCTAATAAACTTAACTACAAAAAGTATACAAAACTATTTAAAAAAATTATATATCTGACTAAACGAGCCCAAAATAATTACAAAATAAAAACAAGTGACAATAAGTCTAAAACAACATGGCAAATTATTAATAAATCGAGATTAAATTTACCCACTCAGTCTATATCAAAAATAAGGGTAGGCAAAGAGCATATAACTAATACTGAACAAATTGCTGAGGCATTTAACAACTACTTTATTGACAAAATTAAACCATTAGAAGGATGTGGAAAAAATATTGATAGAAACCTCAGACGCATGCTCGGCTCTATGTTTTTGGCTCCAAGTCTACCACTACATATATTTAATATTATCAAAAATATGAGAAACACAAGTAGCGTAGGGCATGACGGCATTGCTACTAAAATAATCAAGTCCGTAAATAAAGAAATTTGCCATCACCTGAGCTATATCATGAACCTGAGCATAGAAAGGGGTATTTTTCCCGATGAACTTAAAGTCACCATCGTGAAACCTGTATTCAAAAAAGCTGACAAAGAATCAATGGAATGTTATAGACCTATAGCCTTAATATCAATATTCTCTAAAATATTTGAAAAATATCTTTATAATGAACTTATTTTATGATTATTATATTATATTATATTATATGATTATTTGGAAAAAAATGACATTTTGTGTAGGGAACAAAAAGGATTTCGCAAAAATAAAACAATAAATATGGCACTCTATGATTTTTATAAAAATGTAATAACACACGTTGACAACAGAACACCGGTATGTTCACTATACTGTGATATGACTCATGCTTTTGACTATGTTGACCATAATATTTTAATTCACAAACTCGAGGCATATGGTATTAGGGGCAATGTATTGAGTTTGTTCCAGTCTTATCTAAATAACCGTCGTCAAAAAACGGAAATATGTGGGTTAAATGTAAAGACCAAATCTGAGAACATAAGCTCATCGACAGAGAGTTTGGTAAAATACGGTGTCCCACAGGGCAGTGTCTTAGGGCCTCTCTTATTTATAGTATATGTAAATGACCTCCCAAATGCCACTAAGCAACCTATGACCTTATTTGCCGACGATAGTACTATAACTATTAACTGTGATGACATCTTTTCTTATAAAAATGACATAAATGAATCATTAATATCAATAATAACATGGCTAAATAATAATAATTTGAAAATTAACCTAAATAAGACACACATTATGCATTTTAGCCAAAGACCAATCACCCCATCTAATATTAAAGTAAAATATAACGACACTGTTATTGCTGAAGTAGATACAACCCGATTTCTCGGCTTACAAATTGATCAAAAACTAAATTGGAAAGCCCATATACTAGAACTAAATAAAAAAATAAATAGTTCGGCTTATGCCCTGTTTAGACTTTCTGCTACAGTTAACATTGACGCACTTCTAACAGCTTATTATGGGATAGTCGAATCTGTCCTTAGATATGGAATTATTTTCTGGGGTAACTCAACTGACAGAGAAGTAGCATTTAAAAGTCAGAAAAGATGTATCCGTGCAATGTTTGGTCTTCAGGCTACCGATAGTTGTGCGC